ATGCCAGCCACCCTCCCCAGTCTTGTTAGTCATTCTCCAAAAGCGTCAGACGTCTTTATTGCGTGTGGCCTAGCAATGCATTTTAGGCACGACAAGATGAAGGCGAGTCTGCACTTCAAACGGCTTCTGTTGGCTGCGCAGGAATAACAATCACTGCTTCATTATTTATTTCTGCCTCTGTTGTCTCTGGCAGTTATCGTAGCCATCCGCCGTTATCCCCCCTCCTCACCAACCCGCACCCATTATTTACGAATTCAAGAGAAATAGTTTCTGAAGTGAAGCGAGCGCCTGGGGAGCTGATTAGCTATTTACAGATGCCACCCACAAAATCCCATGACCCTTAGAGTGGAGGCTGTGAGCAGACAAGCCAATTAGCAAACAGAGGAGTTGCAGCCTGCTATTATTGCCATTATTCGCTCTATTATGGTGGCTATTGCTATTCTTTGTGGAGCGGAGCGGTAGAGGCTGAGGGCACCTGCGTGGACCTGTTAATAGGGGTGCTGAGTGGCACTGGTGGGGCTTGGAGAAGGGCAGTGCTGAGCCAATGCTGCTGAGCTCCAAGCAGGCCAGACAGGCTGCTGCTCTGGGTCTCACTTCAGGCCCACAGTGCTAACTGGATATGATGGCTCACCGCAAGGGATCCACACAGCAGATGTGCTAAATGACTGTCTGAGCTGTGTGTGCATGTGTGTGTGTGTGTGTGTGTGTGTGTGTGTGTGCTTGCCTGCAAATGCAAGTGCTTAAACAGTGCTGTGTTAGAGTACATTTTCATGTTAATGTGAGTGGGGAATGGACTGCTGGTCTACTAATGTAGGCTGTGCTTAGCTTTGGCTAGATACTGCACTCAAGAGCCTTTAAGTCTTATTTTGATTGCAAAGACTTGATGCTCTAGGTATTGCTAAAAAATAAGTTCACTAAGACAAAAAAAGAGAAAAAAGATCTCATTTGATGTGATTTGATTTAGATGTGCAGTGTCTCTCCCTGCCTCTTGTGCAGGCTAACGAGGTAGAATTTAATTAGGGAGGGAGTGAGACGAGTCCTGTGGGAATCACTGCCTGTCCACAGTCTGAGCGGAATACTCACTCTCAGAGCTGGACCTGGGTAAAGATGTAGATGATGAAAATAATTTTGTTGGCTCTGTATCTCTGTCTAAAGACAGGTACTGTCTTTAAAATGGAGACACGTTTTATGCACCATAATATTTTATGCACTGTAAAAAGGACACTGGCTCTCAAGGATCAGAGATGTGCACCTTGGTTTAGTAATTATTTTCTGAGAATGCACATAACATCAGGGCTGAACAATATATTGTTTGTTAATTGTTATCATGATATTGGCCTGAAGGCTGTTATATGCAAATGAGTCCTTTAACCAAGCACAGTGCTTTGACAGTACATTGTGAGCAGATGACTGTCTCTGTGGCTTTCATGATGAATTCAGATATTCGCATAATGCAGCAAAATTAAATGATCTTGGTCAAAATAATGAACATATATCACATTATTATTTCACAAGGGTGTTTTGGATATATTGAGGGGTGTATTAAAATATATAGCAATATAAGCAAACACTAGTACTTTGTCCATATTGTGCAGCACAGCTTAACATGATGATAATGATGACTGTGATCAGTGAATGATTTGATGGTGATAATGCCCATTTAAAGGTGATGCTTAAGCAGGTGAAGCTGTAGGGACGTACTTCTGTAGAGCCTGGCAGAAATTAAATCCCAGCGTTAAGATCAGGGTTCAAATGGCCAATTTGTCTTTTAATTGAAATCAGTGGAGTGTGTTCTATCCTGAATAGTTTGAGACCCACGGGGGGCCGAGGAGTTACAGCACTTCATACTGAAAATCTACCACATCATTTAAGGGCTGGCTTAACATATTTGCATATGTGTAATCTGGATTACTTTACCCGTTTTCAAAATGGTCAAGTGCTTGTAATCAGGATATCTTTGAAAACGTGTAGTCAGATTACAGTCACTTTTAATGAGTTACTGTTTAGGCATTTTTGATCAGACAACACCAATGGAGATATATTAATTTTTAATTAACTAAAAATACCCAAAACTGCGTAATAGACATGTCACTAAAGTACTATTGGGACAGGACTAGTTTTCCCTAGGGGAGGCTGTGGGTAATGCGAGTTTACCATCGGATGTCTATAGTGTTCATGACCAATTCGTACAAGATAAGAAATATCGGTGCAAATGACAGATGCGAATGAGATGGGAGTGGCTACTCTATTTACACCCAATCTTTAGCCCACAAAAGAGTAGAAAACATGCTGAAACTTTATTTAATTTGTTCTAATTATCTGTCCTGCACTGCATCACTAGCCTTGTTGGAAATTCATAGCCAACACTTACCATGTAAAATCAAATGTTTTTTTCTATTTTGTTACATTTTAATGTTCTGTGTTGTGTACTTGAGGTAGGACCATGTATATCAGCTTAATTTTAGCCACAGAGAAAACAAGTAAACGCTTGTTTGAGTGTCTCCACATTTAAACTCCTTTTCCACAGAAAATGAGAGTTGTTACCGACATGTCGATCCGCATGGGATTAATATAACCTGAGGTTATTTCTGCCTCTCATTTTATAGAAGGTAAAAGGCGCTGGAACCTTTACTGACACTGCAGTGTGCAGACAGTAAAAATGACTGACATGGCACATTTGGACAGGTCTATATTCACAGAGAAATGCCAGTAAAAATTACGCTACCTCACCTTATAAAACTAATCCTGTCCGAACAGGGCAAAAGACTGATAAGAATAAATTTGTGTGGACTGGGGAGAAAGGGGTGAGAGGGTAGATTAGGGCTGTATCTTCAGAAAGTTAAAAACTATTCACCAACTATAAAACCAAATAAAGCAGTTGGATCAGAAGTGGTTCAGAAGTTTAGAATCACTATTTTATGATCAATACCAGATTGCAATTCTTAACCTCCTAGGCTTATTATCCAGCCGCTCCTCTTAAAGGTAATCATTCGGTAACTACTATGAATGATTCAGTAAATGCTGTTATTCAGTAACTACTGTTATTCAGTAACTGCTATGAATTATTCAGTAACTAATATTATTCAGGAGGTACTAAGAGTTGATTTTAATGCATATACGAAAAATCAAAATTGAAATGGAGTGTTGAAATTTAAAACCGTACTGCCAATTTAACCCTCAGTCTCTTCCAATGGTCTCTCATTTAATATCTTTAGTGGAAAACACTGACAACAATCAGAACTAGAGATCTAGGTGCATCCTATCAGAGTAAAGTGGACCGAGAGAAGAGGGTCTTGCGTTATGCACATCCCCACACTCATTTTTAACATGCAAAATACCGAAAATTTAATTGAATCTTGGTTTCAGAATTGAAAATCACATCGAACCTGAAAATATGTTACACAACAAAGTCAAATGCATATAAGCTGTGCATGGCATGCAAATACTAACAAATTAACATTAACACTGGAATAAAAAGCCACTGTGTGGATACAAACAATGTAAATGTACTCTCAAACGTGCAACAAAGGGTTTAAGGCCTAATTACATATGTACTTTAAATATGCTTTTCCCAGGGCAGATGTGCATATTTGTACCTTTTCATAACCTAATATTTTAAAATAGAGCAATTAAGTGAAAAGGCTTAAGACAAAATAGCGTATTGTAGTAACTTTTGCAAATTTTTGCAGTCAGATTTAATGCTCTGTACATTCCAGGTTATTCAGTTCTTTTAATTGTGCAGTGAAATGTTCTGAAGTACATTATTTCAATAGGATGTTTACTTATTTTAAATTATTTAGTAAATAAGCAGTATATGTCATTTAACCAGGGTGCCTAAACTTTTGCATATGTCCGTGTATTGAGGTACTCTTTCTTTGCTGTTTCACCGAATGTACAATATTAAGACACCACTGTATAGTACTGAATTGAATTTTAAATTGTGTGTATCATTATGCTCCTAGTAGCTTAAACGAAACTATCATGCAAGATCTGTAGTTATGAGAATGACAAACTGAAGTGTGGCCCACATACTGGCACTTAGGCTTTAAGGGGCTAAGAAATCTACCCAACACACTTACACACCATTAAAAAACTGCCTCATTCTTGGTGCATTGCTTGCTCAATTGTAGCCAATCTTGTCAAAATACGTCACAAGAGGAAAATAGTTTTTTTTAGAATGAGGGCTGCATCAGAGATCATTATATCAGCATTCTCTCACACGCACTCTTGACTGCTAACTGTGTGAAAGGAGAGGACATATGTTTATAGCGAGTGAGATTTTGAGGGAGAGAGAGAGAGGGAGAGATAGGAGAGGAAGCTGAGGACAGCGATACGTCTCTTGCTTCTGTCGTTCAGTACCTGTCAGCCTGTGTTAGCGGTCAGAGCTGGCGAAAAGCTCGCGTGAAACTGTGTTAGCGGTCAGCGCAGGCGAGGAGCTCACGTGAAACTGTCAGCGCATCCTCTCCTCCTCCGCTTTCTCCTCCTCCTCCTTCCCCCACTCTTTTTCTGTCCCTCCTTCCCTCCTTCCCTCCCTCCTCTCTCTCTCTCTCTCTCTCTCTCTCTCTCTCTCTCTGTCTCTCTCTCTCTGATGTTTCTCACAGTGTAAGCCACAGCGAGTGAGTGAATGCCTAGGCGCTACCCCCACCTTCCCCCCCTCCACTGTATGTGTATGTGTGCTCGTGTGCAGACGCGTGTGGTTGACCGCACTGGGCTCCCAGCTATGTGTGAAGACACGCACAGCACGCCAAAGAAGCAGCCGCACTCATTCTGACGCTCGCTTTTTCTTCTAGGACCGGCACACAGATCGCATCGACCAAAACACCCCATTTCACTTCTCTCTGTGTCTTCTACTCTCTCTCTTTCTCTCTCTCTCCTTCTCCCCCTGTCTTACTTCTACAAGCGTGTAGCGCTGGAGAGGAGGGAAGACCCTCTCTATCTCTTTCTGTCTCTCTCGTTCTGTCCCTCCCTCTCTGTCTCTCTGCCTCTCAGTCTCTCTTTCTCTCTCTCTCTCTCTCTCTCTCTCTCTCTCTCCTCCTCTGTCTTTGTGTCCTGCGGTGGGATAAGCGCTGAGAGGATGAGCCCCTGATACAGCGCCGAACCTGAGTGACCTGACAGCTCAAACTGTGAGTATACAACTCTGTCTCTGTCACCTCCTACACACACACACACACACACACACACACACACACACAAACACACACCAACTTTGATACACCAACACACAAGCACTGATAGTTGAAGGATAATGGCGACAGTAATTTTGTCAAAAATATTCTAATTGTGTTGTATTCTTTCTTGGGTTTGTTTTCACCCCCTGGAAAGCAGTTCGTTGTGAGTGCTTAGCATCAGGAGTGCAAAATCCGTGCTTAAGGATCTCTCTCTCGGCAGCATGCCGGCAGCGAGGTGTTTACGTTTTTGAGCGAAACAAATATCCGCTGGCTACGAGTTGCTTCTTTATTTTGAAAATGATACGCTGATTTTAAGTTGCAGTCGCCTGCTCCCGAAGTGCCTACGGAGATTTAGCGTCATCGCTTCTCTTATGCGATATTCAAAAGTACACCTCACTCTCTTCCCTTCCCTTGAAACAACGCATTCACCTGTCATGCTGTCACCCGGGCTTCGCACATGTACGTTAACAGGGAGCGCGGAGAGCAGTAGGGAAAAGCTGAGATAGAAGAGAATAACATTTCCATTTCAAGGGTTATTAGCCATGTGCTCTACATTTGGGCTAAAGAATGTGAGGGAATGTGGTTGTGTGCTTGTGTAGGCTACTTTACTTCAGCTGACGGATGGATATTCTTGCTTTCTGCCAGTGAATTGGTAGAGCTTTTTCTTTTTATTTCCTTTTTTATAAATGTTACATTTCCTCATAGCTGGACTGTTTTGCACACTGTTATGAATTCTGCCTTTAGTCTAAATGTATAGCTGGAACATTCTGTATAGACATGTGTGCAGCCTAAATCCATTTGGCCTCCCCTTGTGTCCGGCCAGATACCGAAAGAGATACAGCAAGAGACATAGCCCGGCATCTCACTTCCAGTTTGCTTGTGCCTGTTTGCTCGAGCGGTGAAGCATGCCTGACAACTAAAACAGGTACATGGTGCTGTCCTCAGCCTGTCAAAAGGTAGCCAGCAAAGTGGATGCTTTGAAAATTGCAAAAGTGACCGAGATAGAGCTGAGCAAAATAAAATCTATTAGTCCCTCTCCAGCTGTAGGTACTAGTTTAGTATGTGTACCTGTGAAATCTCCTCTTTTCAAAGGCCTGCTGTGTGTATAAAGGTGTGGCTTTATTTGATAATCACAGATTATCTGTTAAATTTATGTCTGGTATTTTTACATTTGTTTATAATAAAGAGTTTGCTGCCTCTTGAAGACTCCATGACACATTAAATGTAGATGTATGAAAAAACAGAGTAAATGTGAACATAACGCAAGTTGTTCTATATACTGCAAGTCTACCAGCTCCAGCTCCTTATGTCTTGCTCCAGCGATGGCTGGCTCAGTTTTTGTTGTGTGTGAATTTACCATTTCTCAGTTTGCTGATCATATCCTGCTGTGATACACATGGCAAATAAATGACTGCACAAGATGATTGAGGTACATGGTCAGAGAACATTAATTCTGCTTCGTGGATCCATATGCCATTACAGAGAAAACAGGCAGAAATTTTACAGGAAAGGATTTTAACTTAAAGAAATATGTAGCATTTTTCAGTACTGCTGACATTGTGTCCGACATATTTCGATGCACTTAGTTTGTATGTACCCTATGTGACTGTGGTCAATAGGGTTGTGCGTTAATGGTAGCTTGTCACTTAATTGTAACTGAGTGACATTGTGGTTAACACAGATTGGCGATTTCAATAGATGGTCACAGCCTATTGTGTAAACATGTTTGTTGTTTCTTCAGATCATTACTTACAGAACATTGAACCGGAACATGAAATTGGTCAGGGCTGGTACAAAGCTTATGTCATACAAAGCAACGTTTTTCCCTCAGCACTTGTTTGGAATGCTATTAATGAAGCTTTTTGGTGCCATAGGGGTCTAAAGAGAATGTTTACTTTTTGATTAACTGTTTGGCCAAAATTGTGAGCATCATTTATATAGTTACTGGTATAGCAAGTAGTTTAACATCAAATTTTAAGCTATTTTAATAGTGCAACTTTGATTGCTCTAAATTCTTTGAGACCTGAAAATCCAGATTTATGACGGCTCTCAACACCAAAAAAAAAAAAAGTTTATAGTTTTGTGCGGATGCTTTGTACCCCACAGCTACTATACATGCCACATGTCTTACAGTCTACTTTTCATCCTACCTTAACTCCTTTTAGAAAAGAAGATAATTTATATTTAAATGTAGAGAAACAAGCACTGCTAGTAAAAAAATATATATATATAATAGACAAATGACCAAATACTTGTCAGCACTCTTAAATTTAGGGATGTGATCCCTCAGCAGAAAAGATATTTTGCAAGCCTGAGGTGGGATATTATTGTAATAGGCGGTGAGAATTAGTATATAGAGGCATGCACCTTGAAAGTAGCTCAAAAGTTCAGCAAGGCACAATCCTGCTTATTTTAAAAAGAAAAATCATTTTCTTTTTACGTAATAAAGAACATGTTTACTTGGCCAAAATAGTACTTGGCATGGCCTGACAAAACGACCACATTTAAGCTGCTGACCACTGATGTAATACCTTGTTAATTAACCCTCACTTGTTTCTGTCTTTTTTTTGACATTTCAGAATCAGTGGGATTGATTAAGGAATGCTGATATTAGTGAGATTTCATATAAATCTTGATATGAAATCTTCATCAACTAACCACAAATTTAATTCGAATAATCTTAGTATACACTTAGCTTAGTGAAAGTTGAACATATTCAGCACTTTCTTATTTTTTTCCTTCTTAATTGAAAGCATGCTGTGTGTCCTAATGTAGCAGTTTCAGTGTTGGCACAGTGATTTGTTTTGTCAGGATGTATTAATGATGTTAATTGTTGTTGACTGCCAAATGACAGCAAGTAATCAGGTAGGGCTTAACAGAACTGAGAGCAGCCTGCTAATTTGATTCCAGGGCACATCGTTCAAAATGTCAATTTTTTCAGACCTGGATCAATGTAGACTTTAGATTACTAATTTAAAAATGCTTTTATTAAACTACATGTTGTTCTAGTAACGAAACCTACAGTTTCCAAAATAGTAATTTTGTAAGAGAAGCAAAAAACACTCTTAAAATTAATGTATGTTTATGAAACAAGATTTTATCCCAAGTAATTTTGGACAATTTATATTGATCTGTTTTTGTTGATTCTTCCATAAAATATTCACACATTTGCATGTTAAGTGTAGCTGGCCTTTTCAAAGGAGCTACAGGAAAAAAACACTGAAAGATATGTTTAATTTTTTTGATATGACGGTAACATGAGTGAAGATTCAGTGTTAAACTTTATGTACACAGTAAAAACAAAAAATTAAGTTTTCTTTAAGGGGCTATTTTGCCTCACAATACCCTGCGCATAACACTCTGCTGAGAATGAATAAAAAAAAAATTTATGTTTTAGACCAAAACTTTGTTGCAAAGCTATAACAAAATAACGCGTTGGGCATCAGGCAGCATATTTGTAACTGTTTTGCATAAAAGCTTACTCTGAGGTAGCTTTTAGAGGCATTGCATGCTTCGGATGTCTGGTTCCTCTCAACACAGATGTGAACAGTTCAGGCTGTCCAAGTTTCTTTAGAACAGGGTATTTCACATCTAACCACTAAACTTTGTTTACATCTAAACAGTTTAATTATCCGGACCCAGCATAGACCCATCATCCAGCACTGCATTTGATTTGCCGCTTAAACATATTGCTCACGTTGTTAAAATGACAGTGATGTTAAGTTTTCATTGGTGCTTATTGGAAACCAGTTTGTAGCATGTAGGTATTGTTAAAACACCTCTCAGCATGAGAGAACTGCAGGTTATGTGAGGCAGGTCTGATGTGTGTTTGTTTATTTATATTCTTAATCACAGCACTTTCCCCATATAGCCGGTAGCGTAAGTGTGGTGGAGGTAAGCTGGGTTAGGCCAGGGTTAAAGGGAGCTACCCTGACCTCACCTTGGACCCCCTGTTGTCACTGTACCCACCAGAGTGACGGATGTGAGTCTAAAGGATCTACTTGATTATGTTCAATGGAGAGCTTTCTCCTCTCCCACCTTATTTATGGCCCCCTCTCATCCGGCTAGAGCAGAGAGGAATAAATCTGTCACACTCAGATCCCCCCTCCCACCACAAACACACACACACACACACACACACACACACACACACACACACATACACACATACACACACTCACACTGTGTTCTCTTTCCATCCTCAAACACAGCACAACTCAGAGCTCTCTTCCTTTGTTAGCCCAGGCTATTTACAGGTTGCATATGAATACGGGGTGAAGCTAGGGTAAATCTAGCTAAACCTAAACCACCTTTTACAGGGCAAGAGACGTTTATCATTGAACAACTGTAATAAGCACAGATGAAGCTGAATATTGCCTGTTGCTCTAGTGATTTCCTTATGATGACGACAATGATATTACTCTGCTCAACATCATGTGCTGTTATGTATATCACTAGATGTGTCAGTGACTATATTAGAGATAATGCGCCAAAGGCTCACATAGAGTCTTTTAGATCTTTTGATGACCCCCCCGCCACCACCACACCCCCATGCAGTATGCTACATAAGTAAGGCGCAAGATTTACGTCTTTGAAGTGAAGATTGATCTCTGGGCCCAGAAACACTGAGTCATCCACATGTCATAAATTGCCATGCTGTGTGTATTTTTGGAGTGGAGCAGCACTAAGGTCTGCCTTTTGATCACCCTCAGTTTTTAGAATGCTCCTGGAGCTGCTGCTGTACCGCACCATTTAGAACAGACACACACACACATATTCACACAATAGAATCAATAGCAGTTTTAAACATTCTGTACAAATATTGAGTGGCAAAACCAGTCATTTGGTGTGCATTGGGAATGCACAATGTATCAGTGGCCAGTATATTATTTGCTGATAAATAGGAAATCACCATTATTATTATCTACCGGTATTAAAATTATGGACTGTATTTA